CGCCGCACACGCACACGCACAGCACACGCACACACGCACGCACCCACACACACCACCACACACACACACACACACACACACACACACACACACACACACACACCCACACACCCACACACACCACACACACACACACACACACACACACACACACACACACACACCACACACACACACACACACACATGCACCAAGAGCATCGGGAGATATGACCGCAAATACGATACAGTAGTGCAGATATGAGATGCGTCTACATAAGCCAACAGTCCGGGTCAAAATTCTGATAGTAAGTCAGATGTCATCGTAATCACGATACCGTGAGCGATATAAGAACCATGCGTCCACGACTGTCACCAGCAGTGCTGATTCACATCTTTATTGGCGAGTTTCACCAATGCCGTTGATTACCGATAGTATTCTGGCATTATCTAGGTGTTTCACCACCCACCCCGCCTCGGTACAGTTCCCAGTCGGTCCCATCTGTCCCCCAGCATTGATCGGAAGGGTGCAGCGACCGATGCCGTCACCTGTGAGTGTGTAAGAGCAAATTCCGCTACAGTACCACCACAGCCCCAGCAGCCGCGGCATTCGTTGCCCGGGCTGTGCTTTGCCCGTTGAAATCTACAGCCCCAGCTGAATCGGACCCGCGGTGGACAGGGGCAGTTGTCCCAGCTACGCTGAAGTGCTGCTGATGCTATTCGTGAGCTGACCCCTGTCCCAGAGCTCAGCTGTTTCGAGCTAGTTAGGGCTCGAGTCGCCTTAAGCTTGCCACTCGCACTGGACTGGGATGGCCCGCGGCCGGTGGCAGCGGCCGCGCCAAAGGTCAGGTGACGTCAGAGGGCAGGAAGGGACCGACCGTGCGGGGCATTGAGGCACGTTGAACTTTTGTGTTATCATTCTGCCGTTGACCTGGAATTTTGCTGAGATAGCGGGATCGGGGCGCACAGAACAAAGTACTGCTTGGAATAGCGTTCGATACCAAAATCCATCCGTTCCAAAGGTCGGAGCAAAACCTTTAAAATAAACATAAGCGCTAGCTGTGGCCGGCAGTTGTCATGACGACAATATAGCTTCAAACGACGCCGTTTTCTCTTTCGAATGACAGTAGCCACCTTCGGTTCGCTCCGCGTCCTGAGAACCAGCCTGCAGCGGTTCAGGAGGGCCCCTGTTTCAGAACGGTGGGTGCAGGAGTCTCCTGCAGCTGTCGCATCGGTCATCAGACTCGGACGAGAACTGGACGGACGATTCGTCCTCATGCACGGAAGACGCACGCCGTATTCTGGGCAGCAGTGAACGTTGCCAGTGAGTGCAAAGACGAACGCGCTCGTGTTTGTGCGATCGGAGGAGTGAAGAAGGCAGCTGCTGAGGAAGTTATGAATTGGTGCAGATGTAAATACGTCTGTTGTCAGCGTGCTCATTCGACTCGCTCACAACAATTTAGGTACGAGTGTCCTTGAAGGTAGACTATCAGATAGGAGTTCTCTGATAGGATCGTGAGCTATTGTATCTCTTGTGCGAATGAAGTGGGACGTTTTGTTCTCCTTGTCTCGACACAGCCACGCGCCATTTGTTCGTTTGTACAGGATCATGTGCACATCGTAAAAAGGACGTGCGACAGGTCAAACCGTTCCCTCTCTTTCTCAGCGCTCGGCCGAGGCGACTTCGATTTCCGACGCGTGATCGGCAAGGGCAGCTTCGGCAGGTGTATACCTGGCCCACGACCGGGGCCAGAGGACCTGCTTCGCCATCAAGGTGCTGCAGAAGAGAATGGATCGTCAACAGGAAACGAGGACGAAGCACATTATGTCGGAACGAAACGTGCTGCTGAAGAATCTCTCCGACCACCCATTCCTGGTCGGCCTCCATTACCGCTTCCAGACCAAGGACAAGCTGTACTTTGTCCTCGACTACATCAGCGGTGGAGAGGTGAGGATACGACGATTGGATGACTTTGTTTTGCCGAATCACTGAAAGCATATGGTAACTAACCACTTGCTCGAGTGCGGTCCTCTGTGCATGTTGGATATTATACCTGCTATATGAGATGCGGTCATTGCTGGACGACGTGCGTGATCGTACGCTGCGAATTCGCAAAAACAGGCCACAGTTTCTATCATTTACGCTGGCACCCCTTCACCAAGCGACCAAGCTTTTCTTGTTCCAATTTAGAAATCAACACATCGTGTGATGCGCGCATTTTGGTAGCAAACCGTTGGCAAGTAAATCACGGTTTTATACAAAACCCCTACATGTCGAGCAGCGATGGCTCCTAAACATGGAGGTTATCATCAGCGTCGACTCTGTTCTAGCTTTTCTTCTACCTGCAAAAGGAGCAGGTGTTCAGCGAGAACCGAGCGCGGTTTTACGCGGCCGAGGCCGGCTCGGCCGTCGGCTACCTCCACTCCAGGGGCATCATCTACCGCGACCTGAAGCCCGAGAACATGTTGCTGGACAAACAGGTGCGCGCCGCCGTAAAGTGCGGGACTTTTTCGGTTCTTCCCTGCCGTCCAGTTTCGACAGTCTTTCCCCGCTCATCTTTTTTGACTGTTTTCCTTTTTTTGTTTCAGGAAAATGTAATGCGGAATTTCCTAGCTTATTTGGATTTGATCCGGAATGCTATTGTATCTACATATATAACATATAACATCCGCAAAGTACATAACACGTGCATACTGGCATTCTGATTCTAATGTTTTATTCACGTTACCATGCCGATAAGGGCATCCTGACTCTAAACGCATGCGTCGATGCTTTGGTGGTGAACTGGATGCTACACCTGGCTCTGCCGCCTCATCGCCATGATCCTTCTGCTTGTCCAGTGTCATGGACTCAGGAAAACGCTCATTAGAGTTAACAAGCGTCCGAAAGTTTGTACGCACTTCATGCCGTCAGGTCTTGGCTCTGCTTTGCCTCCAGTTTCGGCTGACTGGCCGGGGAGTTTTGAATTTGAGTTTCTTCTCTACAGGGTCATATAGTGCTGACGGACTTCGGTCTATGCAAGGAAGGTCTGATCGGCAGTACCCAGACGTCCACCTTCTGCGGGACTCCGGAGTACATGGCGCCGGAGGTGCTCCTCAAATTGGTCAGTACCTGGCGATTAACACCGACGTCCCCAGACCAACCAGCAAAGACTTAACTCGGAGGCGCTGCTCAGAATGTTCAGGACCCGGCGGTCGTTAGAGGTGTCTCTCGAACTAATCGTATCGAACTACACGTATTTGAGGTGCCTCTTAAACTGGTGCTTCTGGAACACGCCGATCAGTGATGGGACACAACATGTGAAAGTGGTCACTAAGTAGAGAGAGGCTTGCAAGATGTGCACTTGTTTTCCTGCTTGTATTTGCTGTATATCAGATTATAAATCATACATTTTTCCCACACATTATACTCTGTAAGCTTTTTTGCTAGAGCAAGTTTACAAATGGGGTTTGTTACGCCATCGGGTATTTTCATCTGTTCCGTGTTTCTTATCGGTAGGCCGTACGATTCTAAAGCTTGCATAATCGCGTGTTGGCCGTACAGTTGCCTTGCAGACTTGTTCTCATCAGGTTTGAAGGGATGCCGGGTTGAAATGCTCATATTCGCAACGATTTGTTCTGGAAAGACCTGGAGGCCTGTGTCGCCGTCGTTGAAATGAGCAAATTGGAATGTAATGCGTTGCTTTGAGGTAAGAGCGCTGCCGTTCGCGCGAAAATAAGTCGTTGACAGCCTGTGTGCGAAGCTGTATCGAATGTGCCTCGTGTTCTTTTTCCTTTGCCCGCCATTGTTGTCACGTTTTCTGTCAGATTTTGCAAGGTTTTTGTCAGCCGCCAGCCGTCCGTGACGCGGCCGCCGCCGCCTCTGCTGCAGCCTTACGACCGCTCCGTGGACTGGTGGTGCCTGGGCGCCGTACTGTACGAGATGCTGTACGGCCTGCCTCCATTCTACAACCGCAACACGCACGAGATGTACAACAGCATTCTGCATGGCCGTCCCCGGCTGAGGTCGAGCGCCTCAGCGGCGGCGCAGCAGCTGCTTACGGCGCTGCTGCAGAAGAAGAGCGAGGCTCGGCTCGGCTCGGGGCCGAGCGACTTTGACGAGATCAAGGCTCACCCGTTCTTCGCGCCCATCCACTGGGAAGACCTCCTGCGGAAGCGGGTCACGCCGCCCCTACGTCCCCGTCGTGGTGAGTGGTGAGGGGCGAGTCATTGCAGCCTTAAATGTGATGGCTGTCAACACGACTGGGGCTATAAAAATAACGTGTTAAATGTTTGAAAAGCTGTTGTACCACACTCACCGGATTAATTTTACATGCTTCGTCTTGCAAAAGTTAAAAAAAGGATTTATATATACTATATATATAATATAGCAACTAGTGCACTACTCACCGGACGCCCCGTTCCACGCCACTAAGCTCGGCACGAGGACTCCGCCCATCCCTGTTGATTTGTAAGCCTCCGTGCACGTGTTACAGAGCGGTGATGACGACGTGCGCCACTTCGACCCGGTGTTCACACGTGAGCCGGTGAGCTCCGAGCGTGGGCCGCTGTCGGGACTCACGTGCAGACTCCACACTGAGCCAGCTCAGCCTCGACCGCCACTTCGTCGGCTTCTCCTACGATCCCGGCTGCGAACTACACGACGGCGACTAGCGGGCGAGTGCTGACATCTAGGGGCGAGAAGGCGGACTACGCTGGTCGGTGCGGTCGGGAGCGTCCGCGCTGACCTCTGGTGAATGAAGAGCAAACTAGAAAGCGGCAAATCCGTGCATACCCAACTTTAGGAACCGTGGGTATACCCGAACCAAGACGGTGTCGCATGACGCTCGTACGATCTCGGCGCTGTATACAGATAAACAGCAATGTGTAATGGCAGTCACAGAGGCGTCGCGGGAAATGACTCCTCCGAATGCCGCCAATTGGTTGTATAAGCTTGGAATGCTCGTGTCGAGCATTACAGTCACGCCGAAACACTGCTGCAGCCATGTTTCTCATTAAAACTTCAGGAAAATATTATCGCTCCACGTTGTGCTGCAGTTCCATCATGTGCCATAACTTGCCTCATTGTCGGATTTGTGTTATTTATGTTATGAGCTGATGCAAAGCTGTGTGGCATGTATACTCACTGGAAAGTATTTGTAAGTCGCAGTGTTGGACCAGTGTCTGTACAGTACATGTGACGTATTGCATATCTAGCGTATTGGCTGCGCTGCCCTGGCGTTTGTACAAATAACATAAGTGAAGAACTTAAGCCAATAATCATTTAGAGCTTGGGGATCGCGAAGCGCCGGTCAATTTTCATCCAGGGCTGTACTCTAGAGGCTGGCGGTCTTCATCTCATTCCTGGCTGTGTATTAGACGCGAATAAACTTGTTGCCGAATGCCGAGGGGAAGCCAAGTGCCGTTGGGCGATCCCTTTTGGTCTGGTTCAATTCATGTCTCGCGTGATTCATCGAAGCTGTCGAGGATAGCCAGCAGTTCGTGGATCGAGCGCCGCGCCTGCCATAGGATGACGGCATTGCCAGACGGATGCGCACTTCGTGGATATACCAAGGGCACCGCAGTCTCATCATACAGGCATCTTAGACGAAGTTACTAGGTCATGCGTGGGGGATCCCGGGCGCCTTCGTTGTGGATAAAGCCGCATCCACGGGCTGAACGGGGAAAGCACCCGCGGGCTAGGGGGTGATGTACGTGTGCGTGATGCCTATGTCGTATGTTACAATAAACCCGGTCTTGCATCCACTGCTGTTTGTTCGTCAAGAATTGGAGGATGACCCGGCCTGTTTGTCAACAGGGACCAATGATCGACGCACGACCACCCGATGCTGTGCATGCCTCCAATAATGTGGACCAACAACAGCCGACTCAGAATCGCGTGTCGGCAACAACACGGCTTTGTTTGAAATTCACTCTGATAAACCATTGTCTCTCAAACTGTGATGGTCCACTTCTCCTTGAGGACGGATCAGGCTATGTTTAGCCCGGGGAAACAAGAAAGCTCAATCAACGAGAGACATACGCATTCTACCTCTGGTTGTGACCGTTTGCCGTCTATTGGTGTTTTATGGCGCCGCAGGCTGCCCTGGTGATTTCGCGCACATTACCTGATGGCCATGTTCATGCAACCAGCTGACTATACACATGAGCGTTTGTATAGCAATTGTATTCGGGCAGAAAAAAACAAATCGCATACACTGAGCCCTCAGTATCTCGCTGCTGACTGAACGCTCAATATGAATGGAATCACTCGTCTTGCCATTAGCTATTACGGCATTTTTTTTACTCTGCGCATGTAACACATCATCTTCCGGTTGGCATCTACCTGTCTGCGCTGCCTGGACTGCTATCTTTCTTGGCTCACACACAGAGGCGTAGTTTCCTATTCAGTAGGGAGACAACGGAGGGAGGGCTTTAGCCCACCCCTCTCTCCCCTCCCCCACTTGGGCCCAGCCCCCATATTGAAAGAAAGGTGGGTCAATCAAGGAAGACCCGTTTGTTGACGAATTTTGGGAGTAGGTTTCATAATTTTTGCTCAGTTCGGGCCCCAACTCACCTTGCAAAACTGTGCTTCACCTCAGGCACTGTTTGGCCATTTGACAATTTCCTGCCCCTGAGACCGTCACGGCTTCTCCATGCCGGAAATCCCCTCCCCCCTGATCGGGAACTTCTGTAATAAACAAGGAGTCACCCGGGAGAGCTGGCATGAAGTCATCGACATTCAAGGCACGGTAGTGCACCTGCATATCAACCGCATCATCCATCTGAATCTGCCCACACTGAGGTTCGTTGCAAAGCAGCTATCCCGTTAATAAGCGGTGGCAGAAGGCGCAGCGCGGCCGGGTCTCGGACGTGGTCCGCCACTGAGGCGATCATCGCGCCCTTCAGGAGCGGGCTACATCAGGGCAGGTCACCGCCGGACCGGCCCACCGCCGCCTGATGCATAATACATACAGTTGAGCCACACGGTCTGCCATGTCTGCGCGCTGGGTGCGGTCCGTCGGCGGGCAAATATCTCCTGCAGACCGGTTCAGTAATCGCAGCTATCAATTTAGACACTGCGGACCGCGGTTTTATGGTGTCATATTGCGGCTGACGTGATCTATCGTGTCATGGAGTCCGGGAGATGCAAGGGTTCATGATATGAAGAGGATAATGCTGATAGCCATGGCGTTCAGGGCATGGCCGAATTACACGTACGAGCGACGGGCATTAGGGGCGATCACCTCCATACAAGTCCAGGTCGAATGCGGATGGATGTTTGCGGCTTACGGGGTATTGATAGGGGCTATTCACGCTGTGCGTTTTACGTTATTCACTCAGGCATTGAGGCTTGCGTAACAGGCTCTCTGCGAACGCTTCTAAACGGCCTATTTCTGCCTTGCGCGGTTTGGTTCAAGGGTTAGCTAGCTTGCTCCTCACTTTTGAGTTAGAGCAGCATATTCTAGGGCATAACGGTACATGAAAGCAGATAACTAGGACTTCAATTCAGTCCATAGCTTTCATAAATAAGACGGCAATGCTATCGCGCGCGATGTGCATGGACTGTGCATAACAATTTTAGTTTAGATCGCATGCACCCTGAAACAGAACAGACAGGTATGGTCTCGCGCCCAGCACAGAACCAGCTGGGCGATTTATCACGGTTTTGACTCAGATTTTACTGAAAATTGATACCAGAGGTGATCTGATGCGTAGACCCAAACTGACACAATGTCAATGCCCCCTGACTTATGGGTCACGAGTGATGTCCCAAGGATGTTTCATAACTAAAGTTGACAATTATAGGCTTTTAGCGCTGTTGCACCCATAGCTATATACGCAATCCCACTAAGGAATTTTTCGACACTGCTGAGGTTTGTTCAATATAACTGAAAAAATCAACTGAACCAATTTGGAAAAGAGACATCGTGACCCCAGACAAAAGCCATCGTTTCAACATCGCATAATATCCGTCTCGGGCTTGGCCATTCTGCGGATAATATATTTTGACTATTGTTGCGCCAAAAGACGAAGGCTCAGGGTGCGGGTGGCTAAAACAGCTTCCCGTGGCTCAAGACATCGTCCTTTTAATTCATCTTGGCATTGGGTCGCCGCCGAATTGGGACGTCTGTCTTCTGGCAAGCGGTTCTAATGCATTGTTAATTGCTCAGATTTATTTACCAGCTGGTACTCGGGTATATTTGGTGTGCTCAATGCGCCAAACACAGAATCAGCTCTGGTTAGTCTAGCGGTCACGACTATATATATATATATATATAGTCGTGACCAGTATGCTGACCAGAGCTGATTCTGTGTTAGGACGTTAGGATGTCAACATATATATGTATGTATATATATATATATATATATATATATATATATATACATAAATACATATATGCATGCATATATATTGTCATGTGTATATATATATATATATATATATATATATATATATATACATGTATGTTGTGCCAAAAAAGCAACACAGCACAATCAGCATTCATAACATTTTCTTATGTTTTCCCAATAAACCCGATGAAAGCTTTCGCCTCTTCTCTCTGTTCGTTTAAGATGGCACCAAGGCTTATTATGTAAAGAGGATATGGATTAACATGTTACATGACCTGGTGCTAGTTATGTTCTCAACTTGTCATCCTACATTGGGCATTTTCTGGAGTGACGGTTTTAGACAAAGTCGATATAATTGTTTTTAACTCAAGTCCTCTCGGAACTATTCTAAAACTCATGATCTCATGTCTAAATACATCGTTTTTTTGTGACACCGGTATAGCACAAACATACTGCGTACGTATCACAATTCAGGCATAAACATGTACGCATTACACAAACTCATTAACAGGCAACAATGTTCATCCGCGAAACGTAAAACACTCAATGTCCTGCACTCTACTTCCTAACGGCGGCCCTTAGTGCAGATAGAGGGTTCCAGGTGCATTTGTTTGTTAATGACGGGGTCCCATTAGCGGATGTGTATTGCTCCTAGAGCGATGAAAGCTCGTCTCTGTGCGGAGCGTGCTACGACTTTTGTGTTGTTTGGCATTTGGCGTGTCTGGCGGGTTTGTGTTGGGTCTCCTTGTATGTGTGTGGCCGCCGTTTTATGGGTAGATGGGTTGACGATTATCAGGGTCATTTTGCATAATCCAGAAGGATTTAGTTGAACTCTGGTGATAGATGTTAAGTTTGAAGGTGTCATTAGGATCCTTTGTTCGGCTATTGTGATGGGCAATGTTTAGCAGAGCCTTTTCGTCAGCTTTACAACTAGAAGTCATGTTTTTCGACAATATGTGGTACGCATTCTGATTTTCTGTTTTTGCTTTGACTCCAGGTACTGTGCATTGGTCCGGTTGATCTAGTCTTCCGCAGTGCGCAAGTCGTAATCGTCGTTGGCTAGACTTTACTAACACGCCTAAACTCCTGTTGTACAAGGGGCCATGACGAGCAATGCTTAAGGGCACGGTGGATGTAAGCCCGCATAACACTGGTTTTGTACCCGTCGGGACACATGCTCTCTCCGTTCAGACATTTGGCGGCGGCAGTAAGCTTTCAGTGGACGCTGGTTGCAAAGGTCTTGTCTCGAGCGTTGATTGATGCATCCAAAAAACATGTCCTTTTCCCGAAAACTCTCCTGGGTGGTAAAATTTAGGCAT